GAAGAAGAAGAAGAAGAAGAAGAAGAAGAAGAAGAAGAAGAAGAAGACACGCCCACCCAGTCACCTGGCCATGCCCACCTGGCCACGCCCACCTAGCCACGCCCACAGAACCGGTCATTAAAAAATTTGAATCTCACCCATGCTGCTCTCCTCCAACCCCTTTTGGGAGAACATTGACTCAAAATGAATCCCAGATTTGGATCCCAGCCTATCATGTGGATTAGATGATGTTTGGACGGGGGGCTCATTTATTTATTGATTTTAATCGGCCCTCGTCTATCCCGCAGGGTTCTTGGGAGGGTTTTTTAAAAAAAGGGGGGCCAGATTTGGTTGGATCCCAGCCTATCATGTCCATGGGCTGATATTTGGGGGGGGGTTGGGGGTTGGCAAGTAGTCCTGGACATATGACCACCCTTGAGCCCAAAATTTCTGTTGCTAAGGGAGACCATCGTTAAGTGAGTTTTGCCCCATTTTATGACCTTTCTTGCCACCATTGTTAAATTCCCAAAAGGGAATTCCCCGGGACACTGTGACCGTCATAAATAGGAGTCGGTTGCCAAGCGTCCGAAATTTGGATCAGATGAGGGCGCTGCAACAGTTGTAAGTGTGGAAAATGGTCGTAAGTCACCTTTTTTTGGTGTCGTCGTAACTTCAGACGGTCACTAAATGAACTGTTTGCAAGTCGAGGACTACCTGCAATTATATTTTTAATTTGCCCTCGCCTGCCTCACAGAGGTTTTTTTTTGGGGGGGGGGGGAATAAAAGGCCCAGATTCGGATGGATTGCAGCCTATCACTAACAGATTCTCTAACAGATCATCAGAGTTGGAAGGGACCTTGTAGGTCATCTAGTCCAACCCCCTGCCCAAGCAGGAGATCCACATTAATTGGACAATATTGGGGTGCTTTATTATATTTTTAATTCGCCCTCGCCTGCCTTACAGAGTTTTTTTGGGGGGGTGGATAAAAAGGCCCAGATTCGGATGGATCGCAGCCTATCACATTATTGGACAATATTGGGGTGGTTTATTATATTTTTAGTTCACTGTTGGCCTACCTCGCAGGGTTCTTGAGAGGGATAAAAAGCCTAGGGGAAGCCAAAAGGTGGTGAGAAGGGTTTTCTGTATGCATGCAATGGATGGCAGCTTAGCATGCTTCCTGTCTAGAATGCTCTTGAGATGAAATAGAAGCGATGCTTATTTAATTCGTCTTTGTGACACCTTCCTTGCTTTTCTTCTTCTTCTTCCTTTTCTCTCTCCCTTCTTTCTCCATCTTCCTTGCGCTGCTTCGAAGGCTGCTAAACAGATCAAAGACAGGTAGGCCATCCCTTGGAACACACCTGGCCAGGTTTTGGCCTTGTTATTTTCTCGGGGTCTGGGGATCTAGTGGGGGTGGACAGCCAGGATATATTTAAAATGGCTGTAAAAATCTCTGGACTCCAATTCCCAGAATTCCCCAGCCAACAGGGGAATTTCTGGGAGTTGAAGTCCGGACATCTTAAGAATCGCTAAATTTGAGAAATGGCGGTTTCCACTCCAAATGGAAGCTGGCCCTTCGAGAGATTCCTTGGCCCACCTCCTTGTAAGCAAGGGGAAGTGCACTCTGCCCATGCCCCAACACCCCCTTGACTTCCCATTGTCTCGGCCAGCCGGCCAGCCCATCTTCCTACATGTCCTTTGGGTGGGGTGGGGTGGGGGATTGCTGGGTGGAGCAAGTCACTCTTCACATGCTCAGAAGTCCTTGGCTTTTGCCACCGGAGGCAGGCAGGCCCTCGGAACTCTGCACATGCTTTGGAGACAGGTTTTGGCCGACAGGTTTTGGCGACAGGTTTTTGCAAGGCTGCATCTGGACGCTGGGGGGTTCTTTGCATGTTGCCTTCTCCGATCCCTCTCGCTCTAGGCTGTGAAAGACGTGTTTGCGGGGTGGGAGGGTGGAAGTGTTTGATGGCGCGCCTTTCTAACTCGCCTCTCCTTCCCCTCCGTAGTGTGACGATGGCTCCGGCTTTCCGCCTCTCTCTCAAGGCTAAAGTAACCGACAACATGAGCCATTTAATGGTGGATTTTGCCCAGGAACGCCAAATGCTACACTCTCTCAAATTCCTGCCAGGTAACTAGAAAAAATGTGCTTTTTTTTTTTAAACTTATGCAGGGTAGGGTAGATTTTGTTTTCAGCTGAAGACTACCAAGTCCATGCTTCACAGCCAAGGTGCATTCTCCAAGCTTATTTTTATTAGATTTTTTTAAAAAAAAAAATCCCGCTTTTACTACTTTATTGGTAACTCACAGCAGTTAATATACAGTATATAATATTCCTTCCCGCTCTTTTTTTCCACTAATGACAATCCTGTGAGATGGATTGAGCTGAGAGAGAAAGGACTGGCCCGATCACCAAGCAGGCTTTCCTGCCTAAGGCAGGACTAGAACTCACCGTCTCCTAGTGATTGGCTCAAAGTTACCAGCCAACTTTCATGCCCAAAATGGGACTAGAACTCCCCGTTTCCTGGTGATTGGCCCAAAGTCACCCAGTCGGCTTTCATACCTAAGGTGGGACTAGAACTCACTGTCTCCTGGTAATTGACCCAAAGTTACTAGCCAACTTTCATGCCTAAGGTGGGACTAGAACTCACTGTCTCCTGGTAATTGACCCAAAGTTACTAGCCAACTTTCATGCCTAAGGTGGGACTAGAACTCACTGTCTCCTGGTAATTGACCCAAAGACTCACTATCTCCTGGTGATTGACTCTAAGTCACCTAGTTGGCTTTCATGTCTTAAGTTGGGACTAGAACTCATAGTCCACTGGTGATTGGTCCAAAGACACCCAGCCAGTTTTCAGGCCTAAGGCGGGTTTACAACTCACCGGCTCCTGGTTACTACCAAACTAGTTTGCAGCTAGTCCTCAACATAGAACCAGAATTGGAACCAAAATTTTTGTTGTGAAGCAGTACAGTCATTAAGTGAAGCATCATGTAACTGCATCTGATTGGCAATGATCTTGGAGCTGTCATTAGAAGACAAAGGAGAACCATAGTTGATGTGCAGGAATCATATTTTCTTACCCAGGAAAGTAAAAACATTAGCTGAGGTAAAAAGCTAAAACTCAGTTATTAAAGTAGTAATTTATTAGAAAACAGACAACTCATTTGCTCCGTAATATATACTTAAAGTTAGTTGTGGTATCAGGTTTAAAGCTATGTTTTTTTAAACATGGCAACTTTAAAGTGGTTAAACTTCAACTCCCAAAATCCCTTAACCAGTATTTGTGGACTTCAATCCCATAATTCCCCAGCCAGCATGCTGGCCAGCCTGGGAATTCTGGGAGTTGAAGTCCACACATCTTGATGTAGCCAAGTTTGAAAAAATTGCTTTAAAGGTCTTAATCAACTTCTTCAAAAACTGGCGGAAATTAAAATGGAATTAATTAAAATTGAATTGAAGTCCCAAAAAACTTGAAATGCAATTTTCCCATTATGGTCTTTAATAATTTTTAAACTAATTTTTTACTACTATCTGTAAATTAGCACATGTTTATTTTTTTAATTTTATTTTTACAACAAAAACAACAAATAAAAAACATCTTTTAGTTATACAGTCTGTCATCTGGGATATATATAGATTGTGTACATAATAATATTTGTATACATTTCTCATTGAGTTTACAATCATATTGTATTCTAGTCAACATTATATATCATATTATCCTTTGATTTTTTATTTCAGTTTCAAACTATTCTTAAAGGCAAATCCCAACTTTTACTGAATTATATTCATGCTGAAACTTATTCAAAAATAATCCGTTATAATACACTGCTCAAAAAAATAAAGGGAACACAAAAATAAGACATCCTAGATCTGAATGAATGAAATATTCTTATTAAATACTTCGTTCATTACATAGTTTTATGTGCTGGCAACAAAATCACACAAAAATTATCAATGGAAATCAAATTTAGCAACCCATGGAGGACTGGATTTGGAGTTACACTCAAAATTAAAGTGGAAAAAAACACTACAGGCTGATCCAACTTTGATGTAATGTCCTTAAAACAAGTCAAAATGAGGCTCAGTAGTGTGTGTGGCCTCCACGTGTCTGTATGACCTCCCTACAATGCCTGGGCATGCTCCTGATGAGGTGGTGGATGGTCTCCTGAGGGATCTCCTCCCACACCTGGACTAAAGCATCCCCCAACTCCTGGACAGTCTGTGGTTCAATGTGGCATTGGTGGATGGAGCGAGACATGATGTCCCAGATGTGCTCAATTGGCTTCAGGTCTGGGGAATGGGTGGGCCAGTCCATAGCATCAATGCCTTCGTCTTGCAGGAACTGCTGACACACTCCAGCCACACGAGGTCTAGCATTGTCTTGCATTAGGAGGAACCCAGGGCCACCCGCACCAGCATATGGTCTCACAAGGGGTCTGAGGATCTCATCTTGGTACCTAATGGCAGTCAGGCTACCTCTGGCGAGCACATGGAGGGCTGTGTGGCCCCCTAAAGAAATGCCACCCCACACCATTACTGACCCACTGCCAAAGTGGTCATGCTGGAGGATGTTGCAGGCAGCAGAACATTCTCCACAGTGTCTCCAGACCCTGTCACGTCTGTCACATGTGCTCAGTGTGAACCTGCTTTCATCTGTGAAGAGCACAGGGTGCCAGTGGCGAATTTGCCAATCTTGGTGTTCTCTGGCAAATGCCAAACGTCCTGCACGGTGTCGGGCTGTAAGCACAGCCCCCACCTGTGGACATCGGGCCCTCATACCACTCTCATGGAGTCTGTTTCTGACCGTTTGAGCAGCCACATGCACATTTGTGGCCCGCTGGAGGTCATTTTGCAGGGCTCTGGCAGTGCTCCTCCTGTCCCTCCTTGCACAAAGGCGGACGTAGCGATCCTGATGCTGGGTTGTTGCTCTCCTACGGCCTCCTCCATGTCTCCTGATGTACTGGCCTGTCTCCTGGTAGAGCCTCCATGCTCTGGACACTACGCTGACAGACACAGCAAACCTTCTTGCCACAGCTCGCATTGATGTGCCATCCTGGATGAGCTGCACTACCTGAGCCACTTGTGTGGGTTGTAGACTCCGTCTCATGCTACCACTAGAGTGAAAGCACTGCCAGCATTCAAAAGTGACCAAACCATCAGCCAGAAAGCATAGGAACTGAGAAGTGGTCTGTGGTCACCACCTGCAGAACCACTCCTTTATTGGGGATGTCTTGCTAACTGCCTATGCTTTCCACCTGTTGTCTATTCCATTTGCACAACAGCATGTGAAATTGATTGTCGATCAGTGTTGCTACCTAAGTGGACAGCTTGATTTCACAGAAGTGTGATTGACTTGGAGTTACATTGTGTTGTTTAAGTGTTCCCTTTATTTTTTTTTGAGCAGTGTATATCATTATTATTACAATATCCATTAATTTTTTACTCTACTTTCTAACCATCCATAAAATAAATCCCAAATCTTATATTATTCCTTGTCTTCTTGTTCTCTAATTGCCAATGTTAATCTACTAATTTCTACACATTATTTTCTTAATCACCTCCTCGTCCATCAGAATTTTCTCATTTTTCCAATTTTGTGCAAATACAATTCTAACATTGATACATTAATAATCAAATATGTTATTTCTTTACTATAACTTTCAGGCAAAATCCCCCAGTAAAAATATCTCAGGCTTTAAATCTATGTGATGTTTTATCATTTTTTTCCAATCAAGCACATGTTTATTGAAGCCATGGGGACAGTGAGTAATTTTTTGAAAATCCTCACTGCTTCTATTCTTGAGTGACTGATGTAGAACCTGAAGAGGCAATTGAATCTCCTAGGAAAAGGGGCTAGTAGTCCCTGGTGAGGCCGAAGCTAGAATCTTGATTGCGAATCCCTTTTTTTAATCTCCCCGATTTGAAACGTAGTTCCCAGCGCGCCCGAGATAGACGTGGCTGAATCGTTGGTGGCTGACAACTGCGTAACGCTCGTTTGGAAAATGCCGGAAGAAGATAGCAAGATTGACCATTACGTGATGGAATATCGCAAGACCAACTTCGAAGGGCCTCCTCGGGTCAAGGAAGACCATCCCTGGATGGTTATTGAAGGGATCAAACAAACTGAGTATACGTTGTCTGGTAAGGCGAGCTGGATGGGACACAAGAGCTGGGTTTGAATCTCAAGAAGTCTACCTCTTAAGGGGGTGGGTGGCCATCTTGTCCACAGTGGCTAGGGAATTCTGCGAGTTGAACTCCCTGCATTTTAAAACCTGCCAAGATTGCAAAATACTGGACTACAATATTTAGAAGGTGAAGAAAGATTGGTAAATTTGAACACACACACACACACACACACACACACACACATAGCTTTGTTCGGGTATTTTCCCACGTCATTGTAGTTGTGCTTTTAATGAAAATTCTCATCTGATGATGGCAGATGAGATTCTGCTGGAACGTTGCTACAACTTTGAAAGCACAACTACAATGACGTGGGAAAATACCCGAACAAAGCTGAATGCCATACATGTAAGTACCCGCGAAAACTTAAGAATATATATATATATATGATATATCTGCATTTTGCACTGTTTACATAATCCTTTTCATAAATCACATATATCCTTTTCATAAATCACATATATTTCCAGACTGATTCAGTAAATAATGTATTGTTCCTGCTATTAGCGGTAACCTCAGATTTTGTCTGTTACATCCAAAGTCTACTGATTCCTAAAAACCCAGGTTTTCTTTCAATTAGATCTGGGGTGGGGGGGGAATTGTACAGGTAATCCTTGACTTACAACCATTCATTTAGTGACTGTTCAAAATTACAACAGGACTGAAAACACTGACTTATAACCAGCTTTCGTGCCGTGGTCATGTGATCAAAATTCAGAATCTTGGTGACTGACTCCTAATTATGACGGTTGTAATGTCCCAGAGTCACATGATTCAGCCAGTTTGGACCGGTTCGGGCGAACCGGATGTTAAATTTACGTCTGGTTCAGCGAACCGGTAGTTCCGACGACTGGCTGGCTCGCCCCCCACCCCTCCCCTTCCCTCCCAGGAGTCCCCACATGGCCTGTTTTGGATCCCAGTTAAGTGCAGGGGGCGCATGGAATGAGCCTCCCACAGCCTCACGGAGGGCAAAAGCCTATTTCTGGCCTCCAGGGAGCCTCCGGAGTCCGGGGAGGCTGTTTTCGCCCTCCTGGAAGCTCGAGGAAAGCCTCCGGAGTCCGGGGAGTGCAAAAACACCCCCCCCCTTTCTGTGGTGCAGGAGTCTGACTAGGCCACGCCCACCCAGCAACCAGGCAGAGAACGGGTTGCTAAAATTTTTGAAGTCCATCCCTGGTCACGTGATTCCCTGTTACGACCTTAGGACGGACAAAATCAGTTGGAGGGGGGAGGTGGATTTGCTTAACGACTGCGTGATTCACTTAACAACTGCAGTGGTTCGCTTAACAACCATGGCAAGGAATGCTCTAAAATGGGGCCAGACTCACTTCATGGGCGTCCTGCTTAGCGATGGAAATGTTGTCGTAAGTCTGCCTGTTTGTGTTTCAGAAGTAAAACTTTACCCAGGGCAAGAGGCCTCAACCAGCATTTAGTGGCCCCACCTATTTCAGAAATTTGGGATTGCTGATGAAGGAAAGAGAGAGAGTTAATGGGGAGAAGGAAGAGAGGACTATGGCCAGGCCCACACCCCGCCTTTTAGAGGGACGGCAGGCACGGTGGGGGGGACACACGTATAAATATTAAATATTAAATTCCCGCCAACTTTCTTTTTCCTTTTCCATCTCTGCAGGGCTTAAATTTGATATGAAGTACATGAATTTTCGGGTCAAAGCTTGCAACAAAGCTGTTGCAGGAGAGTTTTCGGAGTCAGTCACTTTGGAAACAAGAGGTGAGCAACCCCGATAGGTGGTTTATGCACAGGTGGCGGGGTGTGTGTGGGGGGGTGGCGATGTGGTTGTCCAGCCTAGTTAAAACTTAGCCACGATTGGAAAGTTCCAGTTTTGATGCTTGTGGTTTCCTAGTATGGATTTAATGGGGAATCCAGGATTGTGATCCCCCCCCCCAAAATGTTAAACTCAGGAGCATCTGAAGGTCAAAAAAGTCAAAATGGTGGAAAGGAAAGGAAAGGGGTAGGGAGGGAGGGAGGAGGAGGAAAAAGGAAGGAAGGAAATGAGAGGAGAAATTAAGAGCAGGAGTGGAGAGAAAAGAAAGGAAAGAGGGAGGGAGGAGAAAAGAGGGGGGAGGGGAGGAAAGAAGGAAGAAAGGAAATGAGAGGAGAAATTAAGAGCAGAAGGGAAGAGAAAGGAAAGAGAAAGGAAAGGAAAGAGGGAGGGAGAGAGGGAGGGAGGGGGAGAGACGGAAGGGAGTAAAGAAGGAAAGAAATGAGAGGAGAAATTAAGAGCAGGAGGGGAGAGAAGGGAAAGACAAAGGCGAGGGGAGGAAGGAAGGAAGGAAGGAAGGAAGGAA